AGCATATCGCCCCCACAGTCCGGGTCCTCATTTCACCCACCTCGGAAGGATGGAAGGCTGAGTCAACCTTGAGCCAGTGAGATCAGAACCGCTGAACTGCAGATAACAGTCAGCTGAAGTGGCCTGCAGTACTGCACCCTAACCACTGCGCCACCTCGGCGCAGGTCTAAACTTGCATACAGATTCACATGAGCAACAATAGAACAGGGCTACTAACATGAGAATCAGAGACCGCAGGTGTACCCAACATTATATTTCAACAGCCCCATCATGCACTCCACCCCCTCAACAATTTGACACAGATGATTAGCGAATCTTCACATGCTCATCCTCTGATATTTGGCATCATTTGCCCCTCTGGATTTTACATAGAACAAACTAGCCAAAACTTTTCACAAAATAATTAATGAACATGAAATTTGACTCAAAGGGTATATCAGAGTATTTAAGCCTTCCAGGACATTCCATCTTGAAAGGGGGGAAAAATGTTAACAACAGAATTCAGTGAGAGATTGTTAAATATCAAAAAATGTCAGGCTACCTTTGAAGATCTCAACTAACACAATGGGTTTATTTAATACCACAAACCAACATTCAAAATGAGTCTAATAGTCTTAAAGCATCTTTTCTAATTAACAAAGTGTATTAAAAGGCACAAGCTATCATGACCTATTTCTTGCTTGGATAGAGTAGCTAGGATTTGCAATGGGATGAAATGAATGGGGAAGGAAGGAGAAAAACAGGTTGGTTGTGCAGATGGAGGTTGCATGAAAGACAGGTTAAAATTTATCAATTAAAAAACATTGCATTTGTTAAGACCTTCAGAGATAGCCTAAAACCTTTGGATGTACAATCTCTTGCTCAACCACGTTGTTAAAATCTCTTTTTTTCCCAAAAATTTATTTTGTAATCCACAATAGAATGTCCTGGATTATGGAATGCCCATTTGATGCAGTGGGCAGCAACTACTGAAAGCTTATGCCTGTTAATTAAAAAAGGATGCTACCAGAATCTTTCTGATTTTTGGTTACCATAGGCTAACATAGCTGTCCTTCTATAATGTTTCCTTTAATCAGAATATTTGGTACATATTTTGTTCTGATGGAATATGGAAGATTGATCCATTAGGTTGGGAGTCCATCCAAGCTGTACATTTCAGCGAAATGTTCTGAGTTGGCCTGCTTTGTTCCAAGACTGAAATGAAATATATTTTGTGCACTTTTGTGTATATTTGACCTTTATAAAGCATTGATATACACTTAGAAATCCCTGAGAGCAAAATTTGAATTTAGTAGGAAAAATGCTGCATTGAGAAATAGTTTTTTTAAAAACATTTATTTTCTTTTTTCATCAGATTCCTCTCTTGCCTTTTAAATTAAGCTATGCATATACCACTTACCACTTAGACTTATATACCGCTTTACAGTGCTTTTACAGCCTTCTCTAAGCGGTTTACAGAGTCAGCCTATTGCCCTCAACAATGTGGGTCCTCATTTTACCGACCTTGGAAGGATGGAAGGCTGAGTCAGCCTTGAATCTGGTGAGATTTGAACTGCCAAATTGCCAGCAGCTGGCTGTCAGCAGAAGTAGCCTGCAGGACTCCAGTCTAATCACTGCGGCTTGTGGCTATATATGGATTTTTTATATGGATAAAATATCCAGCATGCTTAGATCTATGGTGTTTTTAAACAATCCATTATGCCACAATTTCATTGTTTTCCTTTAAAAAAAAAACAACTAAGAATTTCTGGCTGCAATTGGGGAGTGTTATAGTATAGAATTACTCCTATCTGCCTAGCTTTAAAATTCTCCTAGTATCTCCCTTTTTGACCCATTTATTCTGAGTAAATTGATTGAAGAATAAAGGGGGGGGGGAGACAGAGCACTACTTGTAAAGAATAAAATTGTTTTCTTCTCTTTCTAACCACTGAGCCATGTAAAACTGAGCACTAGTTGTCTCTTGACAACTCAGAAAATGAACTTTTGTAATCTGAGTTCCTCTAATGACAAATGACAACTGTTTTGGTTTTGCTTGATAATATTCCCCTGAGCTATGGAGTTTTATATTGTTCCTTGGATTTATTTTCAAAATATGGTCTGGAAAATTTGTTGGGTCTGACTGGTGGGGCCACAGGGCAAAAGTAAAAAAAAAGTTCTACTGTATAAGTAGATTTTGGGTCATGAAATGTTGGCTTTTACTTATTTACCCCTCTTCAGTTGATTTTTGGCCAAAAAGAAAAAAGGAAACCAACCCCCCCCTCAGGGTACCGTCGGCCAGACAGTGTCGGCTAGCGACCCCCAGGGGGAGAGCCTTCTCTGTGGGAGCGCCTTCCCTCTGG